CGGAGTCAGGCCTGTCTAGTGGTGACCTCAGGTACGTCACAGTAGAACTGTGCTGGGTAGGGTTTTCAAACCTCTGCAGCATGCTCTGTAGGGCTGCATTTTATGCAGATCACCAGGCTTTTCTTCTGAGGCACCTCAAGTGGACTCAAACGTCCACCTTTTCAGTGAGTAGCAGTACATACTGAACATGTGCAAGACCGAGGGCTTCCCAAAGGAGAAAGAACGGCCAGGCAGGAAACAGCACACGAGGAGCTTTACAAAAGTTCTAGATAGGGCTTTTGGGACACAGTAAGGAGCCCAAAGCAAGGGTGAGTGAGGGGGGTGTGAGGAGGAGAATGTAAGAGGGAGGCAGACTATGTATGGTTCCACTAAGTCAAATAAAACATTTGGATGAAAGCATCCATCACTTCCCTTTCTAAGTACCTGGACGTTTAGGGGTGATAAACATCTAAATAAGGTTGACATTTTGCGTTTGTCAGATATTTTCCCATTGCTGTTATGGTTGTGTGCCATCAAGCTGGAAATGATTCTCAGCTGATCCTCCAGCACATTTTCAGAGACTGTAAACAGCATGGGAGGAGAGTGTCCACCTTCCTACTGGGCAGCACCTCGTGGATTAGAACCAGTTGCCTTTGGGTTGGTAGTGCAACTTTTTACCCACTAAGCTGTCAGAGCTCCCTTATTTGTCATTCATCAGATATAGTCCCCCCCCGCAAAAATTGTAAAGTTTAAAACTATGCCAATTGTAGTGCTTCAAGGTTACAGAAGTGAAATGACACGCAATCTCCTCCCATGAGATTTACTGCCACTGAAAACCTGCTGGGGGTCAGTCATGGGTTAGATCTGACTCAACCATACATAACAACAACGTCATATGGAGTTCTGGTAGCACAATGGGTAAGCCCTTGAAAGTTCAATGCTTCAAATTCACCCAGTTGCTCTGTGAGAGGAAGACCTAGGAGCTTGCTTCAGTAAAGACCAGGACCTCGGAAACCCTATCGGGCAGTTCACCAGTCACACGAATTTTCCCTGAGTTGAAACCGAGTCAATGGCACTGACCAGCAGTGCTACACGGCTGGCAAGTGGCAGAGCTGGGCTGAAGCCCCCTCTGTGTGGTACACCAACTTGCTTTCTCTCCTCTAAAGCAACTGCCCACTGATGACTTGATTCCAAAGCAGAGAATTAGCCAATAGTGCTTAAACACCTACAGCACCGTCAACTTAACATGAAGAAAAAGAAATGTGTAGAAAAAATGGCAAACGCCTTGCCCAGACTCAGCATTTAGAAAGGCAAACTGGCCTCCAGGCAGAAACTCAGAGGCTTTTTGCAGAGCAAGGTCATGCTTAGCTGGCGCTGTAGAAAGTGATGATTAGAAGCTGCACTTGATGCCATCTGGTTAGCTCTCCTCATTCTGAAGAGATATTTCTCTATTAAGAGGAAGAGAGCAAGAAAAACCAGACCAGGCTTCTCTCATTTCACTAATTGCGTGGTTTGTGTACATTTCTTCACTTTTATCTACACTTGTTCTAAGCACTGTCTTACACGCTTCACATGTAACACAAAATGTAAGCTTCACAAAGCACAAACTGAAATGTAAACACTCACGCTTTTAGCCAGGATAAAGGCCGGCTCTGGTTTGGGTGGGTAAAGAAAGCCCATGTGCCTGCCTATGACGTCACAAGCTTCACTTTAAGGTATGCCAATGTCTCCACCTTGTGGAAAAGGTCAATACTACATCAAACTACAAAGAGATCTTAAAAAGACATGATCTGACAATAAAGACTGTATCGCAGGATACAGAATCAGCAAAAAGAAGCAGGACATTTTGGCAGTATATTATTACAACTGTAACTAATAATGATCACTTAGAGGCTTGCTGAAAAAAAAAGTCTGCAAAATAACAAGATCATCACTGTCATGTTCCAAAGAGTCAGAACCAACCCATAGCTGACCCTCCACTGAGTTTTCAGAGGCAGTTAATTGCATAGGAGGAGACTGCCCATCCTTCTCCAGCAGAGCAGCTGGTGGGCTCGAACTGCGTACCTTCAGGATTACAGTTCAGCTTCTTGCCACTGGGCCACCAGAACTCCTTAAATATTAAGGTTAGATGATGCTATTTTGGTTAACAGTTAGAGGTTTTTGCTTTGCATGTTTATGTAAAACTATAAATACTGACCTAAAAGATTCTTTAAACATCATCCTATATATATCCCGAACTTTATATACACGATCAGGCTGAGAAACAGGGAGGTCTCTTTATTAATTGATGCATGCAATTATTTCATTAGTAATAGAGTGTAGTCTGTAGGGAGCCGGCAGCTAACCTGAAGGCTGCATCTCTCTGGTCATCTGAATTCACCATTAGGTCTGACGGAGAAAGAGGGGTAATCTCCTCTGGTGGAAACCCGATAGAAGGCCAGTTAGAAGCTGGTACCCAACTCAACAGCAGTGAGTTAGTTAATTAACCCCACACAAAGGAGCTCTGGTAGTGTTGCACTTAATTGTTGTACTGCTAACTAAAACGTCACTGGCACAAATCCAACAGCCATCCCATGGCGAAAGGTGGTTAGTCTCTCCTGTAAAGATCTGTGTGATTTACAGCCTTGGGAACTCAGTGGCTGTTGCTATTGCCAGGTGCCATCAAGTCACGTACATGCCATAGTGACCCTGTGAACAAGAGAGCTGAACCCCATCCTACCTTGCGCATGTCTGACACACGGAGCCCACTGCTCTCGTCATTGAGTCTATCTCCCTCATCGAAGGTCTCTTTTTCACTGACCCTCCACCTTTCCAAACATGATGTCCTCTTCTAATAATAGCTTCTCTCAGCAACATGCCTATAAAGTAGGTGAGACGAAGCCATCTTTGTCTCCAAGGAACATTCTGGCTACACTTTTCCCAAGACATATCTGTTCATTCTTTTGGCAGTCCATGAAATCTTTATTACTTTTCCTGAGCACCAAAACTCAAAGGCACCAATTCTAATTCTGTCATCCTTACTCATTGTTCAGTTCTCAGATGCACGGAAAGTGATCGAAAAGACCCGGGTATGTATGAGGTGCACTTTAGACTTCAGACTGATATCACTGCTCTTCAGTATTTTGGAGAAGTCCCTGACATCAGACTTGCCCAATGTAGTACATCTCCTGATCTCCTGACTGCTGGTACCAAGGATGTTGACTGATGCACCAAGCAAGATGAAAATCACTGACCACTTCAGTCCTTACACCACCCATCATGATGTTGTCTGTTGGCCCTGTGGTGAGGAGTTCTGTCCTCTTGCTGGTGAGACAGTAGTGGTAGTAGCTGGTATTATATACAATCACCATCCACTTATCAGCGTCCTTGCAAGATGTGATGATGTTTTCAAACTGAGACAGAGACCACTTCCAAAGATTAAGAAACAAAAACACAGATCATATCTGATGGAATGCTGGAAGATGAGTTCCCATATGGGAAGGAGCTCCAAACACAGTGTCTACAACAGGGACTCAAACACACCAGCTATTGTGATGACAGCACAGGCCTAGGCGACAGACAGTTCCTTCTATTCTACATGGAGCGCCCATGAGCTGCAGCCAAGTCAACAGCGACCAACAGCATGTACTCATTCACTGCTGCTGACCTGGAGCCGACTCACGGCCAACCCCCCGATGAGATTTCAGAGGCTGTATACTGCATGGGAGGATATTATTCATCTTTCCCCCCTACAGCAGCTCGTGGATTCGAACTGCCTGCTTCTGAGTTGGCAACACAACTTCCTAACCACTAGGCCACCAGAGACAAGGAGGATTTAGTAGTGAATAAAGCAGACAATAGCCCTGGCTTGAGGTGGAAGAGTGACAATGTAAAGAAATAATGAGGATCATTTCAAGTAGTAATAAAGCTTTCAAAGGTAAGAAAAGGTGATATGATAAAGATAATTACATAAAGGAGGGCACACAAAGCACTCGAGGTTGAATGGTCAAGGAAGTCTCCTTTCCAAAGATGTGACACGTAAACAGTGGAAAGAAGTCAATCATATTTAGATGTGGGGCAAAGGATCCAGGCTGAGAACCAGACAGTGTATAAGCTGTGAAACAGAGAAGAGATTGACAAGATTGAGGAATTAAAACAAAACAAAACACAGCAGCCATGAGGCCAGTAGAAATGGGAGATGCCTGGCTACCATTACTGAGTGTTCAAATCAGAGACTAACAGATGGATCCTGCTCAAAAGGAGAAAAACTGCAGAACAGAACATCAAATCCCTGTGGAAATCACACTTGGTGGACTCACTGAGACTGGAGGAACCTCTAAACATATTGTCTTGATAATCTTTAAACCTTGAAGTGAAAACAATCCCATAAGGGCAGGTATAAAAACAAGAGTTCAGCACAGTTAATAAAGGATGTCAGTCTTCAGCATTGCGCTCTTTTAAAAGATTTTATCCATGTAAGTGACAGCAGTGACTCTGGCATTTCAATGAGAAGTTATAGAGGAAAACAAGCGTAATGGAGACGCATCAATACGGACTGAGATAATGAGAATGGTGATGTGTGGAAAAATGGAGCCTGAGTAAGTATATATTTTGTTGTATGTATTTTCATACACACACAATTTTTTCTTCTTCTTTAGAAACAGAAAGGAAAATCACCTCTGCAGCAGTGAGAAAAAGGAGAAGAATCGTATGTAGACAGTAAGCAAAGGCCAGCTCAAGTAGCCCAGCCAGGCCGTGCTCTGGGGCTGGGATTCCATCCTAAATGCCAGGTTTCTCCTGGGACTGACAAGCTCTGGTTTGTTTTCAAGCATCACTCTGGCTGCTGGTGGAGACTTGCTAGCTCTGCCCAGCTTATTACTGGCCAAGGCTTGGACTGTAGCCCAGGTCTTTGACTCACAGCCTAGCAGTGCTCCCCGCCCAAGGAAAGGAGAAGCTGAAAGAGGCGGTTTGATTTCCTCTAGGGAACGTAAGTCTTGCAGAGAGACGCTGGGTAGCTTTTTTGGGAGGTCCCAGGTACTCACCCACTTGTAATGTCATCGGTCCGGATGTTCTTGCTCAGAACATCCCCGTCGCTCATGTAGCCGGGGGCGTCCATGCTGATGCCTTCCAGCTCGATTTCATCTCCTGCCTTGTCCGAGACGTCCACATGGCAGATGCTGCTGCCCCTGGTAGCCAGCTGTCTTCTCAGTGGGGCAGAGTACACGTAGCGACCCGACTCGGTGTTGATGAACCGGCTGGCGTTGGCTCGAGGGGGGTATCCATTGCCCATAGAGGGGGCATCTCCTGCTTGGAGGCGGGGGCTGGACTGGCCAAGTCTCCAGGACAGTGGGGTAGGCCTTCCGGTCAAGCTGAGGATACTTCGTCCGCTGATCTCTGTGGTGACGTTGGTGTCAAAAGTGGTTTCCAATGTGCTATTAAAAACATATCAACTTTGGATTAGATCTAAACGTGCCTTGTATCTATTACAGTTCAAATGTTCTGTAATTAAAAAAAAACAACAACATATATACAAAATAGAATTAGACAATAAGATATCACCTAATACTTTGTTAAAAAAGAAAAAGGTAGCTGTTAAGAGACGCTGGGAGACTGAAGAAAGGGTGAGTTAGTGTTTAATGGGGACAGAGCTTCTGTTTAGGGAGATATAAAATTTAGAAATTGAGAGTGGTCATAGCTTCTTGGTATCAGGAGTGTAATTGCTGAGTGTGTGTTGTTAGGCACCACCTAGACGAGTGAACTCCGAGCGACCCTAGGCACAACTGATCAGAACCTGTCCTCACCTGCGCCATCATCATCCTCCCTGACCGCTTGAGTCACTGTGTCAACCCATCTTACTGAGGGTCTGCCTCTCTTTCAGAATGCAATTAATGACACTGAGTTACTTACACATGGTCAAGATGGCCAGTTTTATGTTTTAATTGTTTAATTATATTTTAATTGTTTAATTGTTTAAAAAAGGGATGTTGTCTATATAATATTTAATTAAATATATAGATAATATTTTTTTCAATGCTTCCAACATCCACATCCATAAGTCTTTTGCTTATATAAAACGATCACTAAACGTTGGGGGCAAAAAGTCCAAAAAGAGTGCCAAGGTTGAGCTCCATAAAAAAATCAAGTGACATGGCTCAGGAGCTTCCCGAGGACGGCACTCCATCCAGCCTGGGCTTCAGAAAGACCCTTTTGGACCCCATGGTCTTCAGAGTCTAGTGGGTGCTTGGAGTCCAGTCCAGAAGGCATATGCACCTCCGGGAACTGCATCAGGATTTCCTAACGGGCACCAGGCTTTCTCTCCTGTCGTGACTGTCCTCACTCACCAGGGTAAGGCCCAAGCCAAGAAATTCATCCCAGCACTGTAACTAATGGCTAAGTTCCAGTGGATGGTGGGAGGGTGAGTGCTTCGTGTTCCACATATAGTCTCAGTACCCCATATCTGACTCCGTATCTAAAGGTTTAGGGGAAGCCTCTCCAGGGCCCCACAAATCCCCAGGGACTCTTCTTCGGCAGGGCCAGTTTGGTGCCTCAAGCTCTGTTTCTCTCTGACCATCTGAGCTGCCTTACTTCCCTCAGCAGAGGTTCCCACTGTCTCAAAACCCATTCTATTTAAAGACAGAACCCACAGTGGTCAAACCGGACTGTAAAACCTGCTGATAAGAGCAGAAGCCCAGGTATCACTGCTATAGTCATTGATCACGGAATGAATATTCGAGATGCAAAGAAACTCCTCTAGGAGCTCAGAGGAGAGAATCAGAACTGTCCCAAACAAACTGTCAATCTGAGTTCAGCCGAAATCCTCAAACACATCCCTGGGCTGTATCTTTTACTTCTTGCTTGGTGGTAAAAACAACTCAGTGACTGTTTCCCATGTAATCCTATATTTCACCCAACAAAATCATATTTTAAACATTATCATACATTAGATATAGATATAAATAGAGATAGATAGGGAGATGTATAGTTTTCCTTACATGCTTCATATTTGTGCATGACTAACAATATTACTGAGTGTTGGGTAGCAAAAGACTGGGAAGAATTCAAGTGATTCACTTACTCACACAGGTCAAATCGAGGTCTCCTACTTGTCTCAACAGCACACTACAGTTTGAGAAACTCCAAGTACTAAAGCAAAACTTAAACAGAGCTGGTCTAGAAGATCCTATGCTGAAATGGGTTTAGCAAGTTTTTGCTTGGGGGAGAAATCTATCTAATATTAATCTTTGCTCCCTATGGTTTTCTTGTGCATGCTGTATGTTATCATTTATGAATTCCAACACAGGCAGGCACCAAGACTATTTCTTCCATCATCAACCAATTCATTCTACAAGTGACATGAACAAACTCACGAGACTAGAAAAAAACAAACCAACAAAACAAAATCCCACTCCCTTCAAGTCAATTCTGACTCAGAGGACCCAATAGAGCAGAGCAGAACTGTCCCTCAGGGTTGCTAAGGATGTAAAACTACACAAAAGCATTCTTCTGCCTCATTTTTCAGCCACAAAGTGGTTGGGAGATTAGAAATGACCACCTTCTGGCTATCTGCTTAATTCACAGTACCACAAGCATGTAAGCCAAGCTGCAAGCTTCAACATATCATTCTTTGAGTGGATACCTGTGTGTAACCTGAGTTCCCCGTAAACTGGACATGGTCTCCTCTAAGTTCTGCCGCAGATCAGCAATGTTCTTCACTGTCCGCAGTCGCCGAGCCTCCGGATCTTCCCCTGAGTAGACAAGGAGGAAGATGATGTTAATTCTGTGAGAGGCAGTGAGCTTCCTGATCATAGCATTGATAACCATGACCATCATCACGCGCCATGCTCAGAGCTGGTCCCCGTCAATACCTCGCAAAGACATGCAAAGCAAGCTGACTGACAGACTGGATGCCCAAAGAAAGAGCTAACTCCAAGGAGAGAGGTCTGTCCTCTTCCTGCAGGTCCCTCCTGAAACAGATGTAGTGGATCTTGCAGGGGAAGCAAAGCCTCGCCTTAGACACAACACATTTCACAAGGTCTCCAATCAGGACACGTACAGGTGAGGTCTGACCACTTCGTGGGAATCACTTTCTGCCCACGCGAAAGCATGAGAGGCATTTTGTTTTCTAAGCCTGGGTGATGCACACGGCTGTCTTCCAGCCCTGCTTTATGAATAGAAGCAGGGTGGCTAAAAGGTCTGCACTTAATATGCATGCACATTCCCATAGACAGAGGTCTGTCTACTTTCTTGTCCAATTTATTATGTCATTTCAAAATCTGCCTCTTCATCTTACAGGCCTGCGTGATTGGAGGAATTGCTCTATCATTTAGACAGAGCACCTTCACTCTATCACTCAGATTCCACATTTCTGAAATATCCCACAGATTTCCAAAAGAACAAATCAGTCTTAGAAGAAGAAATACAACCAAAGTGACCCTCAAAAGCAAGGATGGTAAGACTTCAACATGCTCACGCTGGACCAGCCATCAGAAAGCAACCTGTAGAAAGGGCACCGTGTTTGGTAGAGGATTAGCAAGGGGTACAAGAGAAACCCTCCATGAGATGGACAGACATCGGAGCTGCCTCTATGACACAGTGGTCATGAAAATGGCACAGGACTGAGGCAACATCTCACTGTTATATGTGAGACCATCAAGGGTTGAAACCAACTCCATGGTACTAGCAACAAGAGTGCCCATCTCAAAGCATGGTGGGAAGCATAAACGTGACGAGGTATGGAGCGTGCTTTGTACACAATCCTACACGTAAGCACACTTAGGCCATGTCAGCAGGCATACAGCACACAGTCACTGAGAAGAACAAAGCTTTTCTATGAGTGAGGAGAGCCTTCCATTTTCTGGGCAACATTCCCCATGAGGCACCTGGCTAGAGACAGTTTAAGCTGATGCTAACATACGAGAAAGGTCATTTGGTTTGAATCCACTAGCAGCACCCTAGGCATTTTTATCCAATAAGGATTTACCGCCTCAGACAAATCTGATGGAGTATCAATAGGAATCGACTCAAAGGCAGTGGGTTTGTTATTCTGGGTTTAAATGTATCAGAAGAAACATAACTAAGTGAGCTAGCAGCTCTCTCAGCAAAGCTATGCATCAGGCTCCCTGGCAATTCTTTATCTGAGCCTAGAACTCTACAGTGCATGAGAAGAGTACTGGATATCCCACGGAGTGCCAAGAGGACATACACGCCTTAGAGAAGGTGAAGCCAGATTGCTCTTTACAAGTAAGGATGGCGAAGCTTCATCTTGCAGACTTTGGGCATCTTGCTAAGAGAAGCTACTCCTTGGAGAAAGACATCGTGCTTGGGGAGGTGGAAGGACAGTGGAGCAGAGAAAGACCCTCAACCAGGTGGACTGAGATAGCAACTGCAGCAATGGGCTCTAGTGTGTAAGGAAGTGTGAGGACAGCACAGGCTAGGACAGAGTTCAGATCTGTTGTTCACAGGGTCGCTATGAGCTGTACTAGACTCAATGGCACCTAACAACAACAATAAGGACAAGAGGAGAAAGGGACTATCAATATGATTAAAAGGATCAAACATTTTCCCCTTGGAGCAATTTCAGAAGAAGCAAACAAGGCTGAAGTACCACAAGCAAGGGTCTACAAATGTCTCTAATGAAAATGTTGAGCAGCATTTTCCAGAACTATCCATACAGAACACAGATTATGTGAACAGCAGCAGAGTATATACTGGACACTAAGTAATGTACTGGACACTAGAGGGCGATGGGAGTAGAATTTTTGCCTTCCACATGGGAGACTCGGGTTTGAATTCCAGGCAGTGCACTACCTGCACAGACACCCTGCACCTCTCGGTGCAGGCTTGTGTGTTGCCACTGTGCTAAATAGGTTTCAGTGGAGCTTCCAAGCTAGGAGAAACTAGGAAGAAAGGACTGGTAACCTACAGTTAAAACTCTTATCAATGACAATTCCTAGCATTACAACAGTTCTATTTTTCAACTGATTGTGTGGATGGCACACGAGGGACAGTGCTCCATTCCATACTGCATAAAGCCATAATTTGAAAACCTGGGCAGGAAACAGCAAGAACAAAATTTCCAGCCTTTATCAACAGGCTGCTAAGAAATGCTACAGAGTTAACTTTTTTGAGATAGACAACAACTTCACTACATTGTGTTTGGCATGGTTGTGCCAGGAGGCTGAGGGATACATTATATGACTGTGTGATTTGGGGGAGGGAATCTGCTGTAGGGAATTCACTGTCCTTGAAAAGGCAAGTGTTTCCAATTTACTCCCCCTTTCCAACCAAGGGAAACTTATTTGTCAGGCATTTTTCTCTTATCTAAAAGCTGGTCAAGCTTGTATTTTCCACTGAATTCTTTAAAATACATGTACATGTGTATAACGTTTTTAACCAAAAGTAGTGACAAATGTCTATTTTTTCTTCCTCTAATGGCCTTGGAAGGATGTAATTGCATCTATCTCCTGAGCCAACAATTACTGTTTACTAAAACTTTGGCCATTTCATACACATAGACAGACAAAAAGGTCCTGTTCCCTTGGACAGTTCTAGGTCCTGCAAACATTGATTACAAAACTAGGACTAGGCACAGGCTTTCAAATCACCTTCAACAATGAACTTAACCATTCACAAAATAGATCAATAGCTATTTATCTATGTCTTTCAATGATATATTGGTTTATGTTACCTCTCCATGGAGAAACTAAAAAATCTTTGAGATAAGGATGGGGTCACATCTTTACTTTTCTCACATAATCTATGGTTCTTTGCTGACAGATACATGAATAGGCTGGGATAGGAAAACAACTTGGACTTTGCATTCTGACAGACAAAGGTTTTAATGCAGATACTGCCTTTTTTCTTTTTTTTTAAGCCTGTGGATGTTGGGCAAATCACTTAACTTCTCCACGTTATCTGTAAGGTGGGGAGGACTAGCACGAGGCTTGGACGGGATGACACATAAGTTGTCCAGTGTATTGTTATGTGGCACCACGTTAGAACTGTGACACTTCAATGGGTTTTTAGAGGCTGTAAATCACACAGGAGGACATGACCCATCTTTATCCAGTGGATCAGAACTTTACGCCTTTGGGTTGGCAGCCCAATTCCTTACCACGAGAGCACCAGAGCTGAGGGCTCCATAAACGTGAAGGTCTTATTTCCTTCTTGGGTGGTCAGCTAGAAAGTGTCTCCTTGCCTCAGACCCTGTGTTGTAACAGATTCCAAGCATAATGGAAAAACCCAAACACTGATCTGCTTGCCTCACTTAGGGTTCACATTCTCAAATGCCTATTCTGTCTCCTTAAAAGGTGACTTAAACATAAGACTGCCCACTAACTAATGTCCTACTCAAGTACTATTGAACACGACGGTCTTTTCAGCTCATCTATAAGGTTCTTTGAAAAACCAAGTAAATTCTCTCCCCATCTTGAGCAAAGAAGAGTGAAGAAAACCCAAAATGCAAAAGTTCAAAAGACGCATGGATGACATGAGCCTCAACTATCACAACCCGGAGCCAGAGGAACTGGATGGTACCCGGATGTTATTATCAACCACCATGACAGGGCTCACACCAGAAGGTCCTGTATAGAGTGGAAAAAGCTGAGAAACTGAACTCAAGATCATAAGAAACACCAGACCTACTGGTCTGATAGACACTGGGGAAACTCAAAGATTATGGATGCCTTTCAAGTCTGGAACTTAACTCACCCTCATTTATCAACTTTCAGCCAGACACAGACAGCCTCATAAAGCAAGCAACAACAACCAGAGAGGAATGAATGTTATAAAGCAATCAACAAAGGACTGTATTTGCCCAAAACCAAATCTCAGAAGGTGGGGAGGCAGGAAAGAGGCTGACTGGAAACAAGGAACAGAGGAGGAAGAAGGAAGAGTGCGATTACAGTATGAGGATTGCAATTAATGTGAAATAAAATGCATATAAACTGTTGACAAACAAACAAACTTGTTTTGTAAATGATCATCCAAACCACAAAAGTTAAAAAAATAGTAAGCTATAATATATATTGTTGTTGTTGTTATGTGCCGTCGAGTCATTTGCAACTCATAGCGACCCTATATACAACAGCCCTAAACCGTGCTTTACATTATATATAATAATAATAGTATGTCAGTATCCTCTCCAGAGTGCTGAAGAGCAATGATGTCAGTCTAGAGACAAAGGTGTACCTGATCCAGGCCATGGTCTTCCCAATTACATGCTATGCATCAGAAAGCTGGACATTGACTAAAGATGACAGAAGAATCAATGGCTTTGGGTTGTGGTGTTAGAAGAGAGTGCTAAACATGGACCACCAGGAGAACAAATCTCACATACTCTGGGCACGTGGTCAAGAGGGACCAGTCCTTGGAGAAGGACATCATGCTTGGAAGGGTGAAGGAACAGTTCAGGGGAGGAAGATTCGGATGAGACAGATAGACATAGGAAGTGAGGTGATGGGATTAGGTGTGTTGGAGTAAGTGAGACTGGCTCAGGGCAGGGCAGGGTTCAGAGCTGTTATACATAGGGTCACTATGAGTCGCAGGTGACTTGGCAACATATAACAACAACAACAATAAGAACATGCTATTCTATCTTGAATTGTGGTTCTTTTCCATTTGCCAAGTCTCCTTCTAGTTACTGTTCACAGCTGAGAGCATACCACATCCTGATAAGCCTCCTCGTTGCCAAAAAGGCTTCATCAACCTGGGTGGTGATATGGTGAATAATATGCTTAACTGTAAACTAAAATCTACCCAGACACATCTCAGAAGAAAGGTCGTGTAATCTACTTCCAAAAACTAACACTGAATGTCTTACCGGTAACAGTTCTACTCTGACACACACACAGTTGCTTCAAATCAAAATCAAATTGACAGCAGTGGGGTTTTTGGTGTGAAGTGTTTTTTTGTTGGTTTTTTTTCCCCCAAGGAGGATGGCAAAGTGTTACAAAATTATCTTTGTGGCAATCCAGGAGTTTACACTTGGAAGGCTTCAGGGGCATGCTGCGACAAGAACCAGACCAGAAATTGTGTGCAGACTTGAGGAGGCTGAGTTGTATCCAGTGATTAGGAATGGAAGAATAAAGACCCTCCATTATCAGTTAAAGCCATAAAAAAAAATATAAATAAATAAAAAGGAAGCGATGTCTCATGAAGGAATAAAGTTTCTGTCATAAGAAATATTCAAGTAGAGACTAAAAGAGCCTTTAGTGAACTACAGAAGAGACATGCATGAAAGAAATTTAAAGCAACCTGGTGGGGTCTGTGGTCCTTCTATCAAGGCACATTTCTCAAGTATCAACTCAACTCACACTAGTAAAATTGGAACCAACTCACAGCTGACTCTCCAGTGGGTTTTTGGAGACTGTAATTGCATGGGGGAAGACGGCCCATCTTTCTGCTGTGGAGTTGCTGGTGGATTTGAACCAGCAGAGAGGCACAGCCCTTGGGTTAACACTCCACAGACATGCCAGTGACAAAGCAGCAAGGGAAATGAATCTCTGCATAACCCAGAGTTAGAACGATACAATAGAGCATATGTTCTTCTAGACGCCCACTTCTAAATAAAGCTACCATTCGTTGGCATGTCAAGGGACCAGCCATGGATAAATAAAAGTCAATCTTCAGTGTCTCCATAAAAAAAAAAAATAATAATCACAGTCAAGTCACATATGTGATTCTACTGCTCGACTAGGAGATGAATCATCTTGCTTAAGAAAGGTTCAGTAGCAACCAGAATTATTTACTGCCCAGGCACTGCTGGCCACTTACAGTGGCTCAGCGTTTCTGAGTTTGCATTGGTTTTTGCAGTCTTGGTACACGGGAAAAAAAGGAGAATTAGTGGGAAATCATAGAAGCAATAATTTGGCACTCTGAGATCCAAGTGTTTCTGGAAAGTTCTTAGGCTGCTGCTTTTGCTTTGTCAGCATGAATCCAGCTCAGCCCCATCACATCATCCATGCACCCCAACAGCTCCCTAGATGGGAAGACATCTGACAGACACCCGGCCCTGAACCACTGACAGCTCACTTTTGATGGGTGTACTTAAGAACCTGGTCTAGAATGTGTGTGGAGGCCTGAACAGTGATCTGAGCTCTGTACCCTTCTTCTCATAGCTAGTCTTTTTTCTTATATTAGCCATAAACTCATGTAGGGGCCTAGAGACCTTGAAGAGAGGAAAACATGAAATTAACGTCAAATGTGGGAACTTCAAAACTGATAAGATGGATTCCTCACAAAATGTTTAGGGGAGAAATCACTGCACCATCACTGGGCCTGGCCAGCAGAGTCAAGAAAATAGTTAATCACCTAGACCCTCAGAAATGACTACTTAGAGCAAAGGGTGAGAGGGGGGAGGTGCCATCACATGGCTGCAGCCCAATTCCACAGATGGAATTTTGTTATTAAAGTGGGGTGGGCATGGCTACTTAGACTAATAAGTCGATTTAAAACATGGCCTTGATTTTTAACCCAACTCTGGAAGTGGAAAGAGGGGCATAGTAACACAGCCACGGCTAACTGTGTGGTTTACCACCCACTTGCCAGATTAGGAGTTCACAGATCATAGGGAAAGGAGTTAGGAAAGGCGGGACAGAAGGTGGCAAGCCAGGATTCACTGCAGTAGGAATTGCAATGCTAATGTGAAGTAGTTGTTTTTTGCTGGGTTTTTTTTTAATTCATAAGGTGATAGTTTAACATTAATATACAAATACTTAAAAAATGAACTACGTGGCAGCTGCAAGTCTTATCTTTTTATACAGCATACACACAAACCTATTGCCATTGAGTCAATTCTGACTTAGCAACCCTACTGTACAGAGCTGAGCTGCCCAGAGTGTTTCCAAGGCTGGCTTCAATACAGAAGCACACTGCCACACCTCTCTCCTGCAGAATGGCTTGCTGGCGGGTTCAGAGGGCAGGCGTTTCAGTTTGCAGCTGAGCACTTAACCACAATGCCACCACTAATCATCAGTGCCTCCGTTAGATTAAAAAATATATATATATATAATTTTTTTAAAGCAGCAATTAAGGGAGCTCTGGTGGCCTAGTGGCAAGAAGCTGCACTGCAATCCCAGAGGTATGTGCTTTGAATCCACCACCAGATGCTCTGCTGGAGAAGCAGTGGCAATCTCCTCCTGTACCCAATTTGACGGTACACACACACACACACACACACACACTCTAATATTTTTTTTTTAAAACAGCAATTAATGGAAGAAGCCAAGACTATATACTTTCAATCACTGTTTCCCATACAGAAAAGGAGGGGACCTAATATGAGGGTTCTAATTTTATCTGAATAATAAGGAGATTCAAAGGGAAGTAAGAGAGAAGGCCAGAGCCCCTAAATAAACAAAAGCTATCTTAAAATAGAATGTGTCAACAGGTTAGAGACTCATGTATAATTCTAGAGAGGAGAAACTAGATTGGAAGAGAGGAGAGAAAAAAGGAGAAGAAAGAAATGGATGGGAAATGGTAGGAAACAGAGTAAAGTTTGGCTGCTTAGTCAGTGCACAGCAACTGCGGATGCAGCTGGGCTACCACCTGGCAGCAGGCTGCCTGGGACACCTCTTCAGCCACAGAGCCGGGGCTCCTGCGGGCCGCACTCACCGGTGAGCTCCTCCAGGGCGGGCTGCACACTCTTGGTGTAGTGGCTGGGCTCCATGCTCACGCCTGCGGAGCTGGACTCGGCAGTGACATTCCCTTCAGTGTCCGTCTGAGACCTTCACACAGAAACCAAAGCAGACATGCTTGTCACGAGAGGCAAGTGCCACATCTGGGCCCCCGTGGTCTGACCACAGCGCCCACCGTCCCCTCGCGCAGCAGAGGCTTTAGAACAGAGCCAACTGGCAGAATGACGCTAAATAATTCATTCGCTGCGTGTGGAGCAATGTCTTAAAATCAGAGAGTCACTCGACTGTAAAAGATGAAATATTCATCTCCCACGTGGAGGGCCTGCGAGCCCTCACCCAGGGCTGTCTCTCGGCCCGACCATCAGGAGGCACATCTAACTAGGCAAAAAGTGGAGGCTCCTGGGTGGTTCAGATAATTCAACCTGGGTCAAAAAGCACCTTCTAAGTAACCAGCAGTGTGAGCCAGTGAGGCATAAAGATGACTCTATTGGCAGCCTGTGGGCTCCCCCATCCCCCTGACACGGCTCTCTTTGCAAAGGTGACTGTACAGCCAGCCAGCAGTGGGTGCCAAGCAGGTGTGTTTGCCCTCCAGGTCTCTGATTCAGCTCAGATCCTCTGACATGAAAGGTATCATTGATGCTTATTCCAACACTTGACTGCAATCTGTACTTCCCCAAACCTTCTCCAGGCCCTTATTTGTCAGGCAAATTGAGACAACTGCTTCATGCTACGTTGTCTTGCCGCAACTACCTCTGTTCATTTAGGCATGGCATGCAGATGTATTAATTACACTCAGAAGCATAACTCTGGGTGTAACATTATTAATTCATCAGCATCCTCAGCAAATCCAGCCCAATTTCACTGTCTATGAAGAAAACGTTTGCCAAGAAAAGAAACTGCGTAAAATGGTCTGTGGGGGACGAGTTGATGAACCTAACTCGTCCGCCCCTCTTCTTCCCTCCCCTCCCACGGGCCCTCATCAGCTCCCCATTCCGATGATCTCTACCTTTAAAGAGTTTGCATCATTTCAGCGCTGCCCACCACCCTCTGGCTGATGCCCAAACCCTCATCCTCTCTGCCTGGGCTCACAGAAAAAAGCACTTTGTAAATAGGAAGGTCTCCTCACTTCTGACCTGGGGGTTAAAAGTGACAACTACTTGCAAAAACCAGCCCATAGATGTATTCTTACTGGTCTACACTGTATCTGTAAGTTTCTAAATTAGTTGCAACTTTTTTTTTGAGTTTTCTCTTTTTTGCAACATTTTTTAAAAATGAGAAATTTCACAAGGATTGCCTGAATTTCTGTCCTCCAGAGAAAACCAGCCTAGAGAGCTAGAGTTCATTTGTATGCAGGGTGCCACCTGCTGGCGCCAAGCTGTAGCTGCTCCCTGCAGGGAGACACAGGAGTGCCCTCCGCCAGTCCCAAGCAGCCTGAGTCATCCTTTTATATACCTTTTTAAAAAAAACAAAAACAAAACCAATCAGACTTCTATATTTGTGATCTTGGTTCTAGATCATCCCTAAGTCTGGTTTACCCCCCCACCAGACGTTCCATTGATCTCTGCAACACCAATATGATCATATCACCCTCCAGTTACCAGATTTCCAAGGGGTGGGGAGAGGTTAGAGAATGTGGTTAGGGTAAGCATGTGACATTTAACCATTAGCTGCCTTTTGCTATCTGGAGATAGTTTTCACCCAATTGCACAGTGTGGTCAAAAGTACTCCATGTCTCCAGGCTGGATCAGGTAGAGTACTCTGGACAAATGCTTTGGGATTCGTCACGAGCTGGGCTAGGCTACCTTTCTGTGTTAGATTTATCTACATGTATTGCTGTGCCTTTCTGACCCAACACCTCATCTCTGATGCTCGGTGGCACCCAGAGTCAATATCCCTCAACAGAAGTGTGTGATGCAAGCTGAGGTCCAAGAGGACCTCACAGGACCCACCAGCATCATGCTTCACGGGGCCTCCCATGACCCCATGGACACGCACATCAGATGGGCTGAGAGACAGAGAGACAGAGATAGCTAGACACACACATCCAGGCTTGTCTCCTCAATACAAGGGTTCTTTGAGAACCAGACCTCCCCTTAACCACAATTCCTTCCACCTTTCTTCCTCTCACCAAAAAGCCCCAGCAACTCAGCAGAAACTTATAAAGAAAAAAGGGTGTGTGTGCCGTGCTAAGAAATGGTGAGAGAATCTGGATGTTTAAACTCTTCTGCGAGAAAGATTCCAGTTTTGAAGCATTTTCCCCCCAAGTCTAGTTAGCATGTACTGGGCTGACACTGGGGTCTGGGTGTGTGGGTGTGGAGGGGGTGTGTGTGTGATGTCAAGCACCCCACACGCACACTGCTGCTTTTGCTGCTGCACCTTCTGAAATGTCCTTTGGTCCCCACAAGCTTGGAAAACAACTGTTCATTCTGGGTCAGCTCAAACACCCCTTTTCCTTTTTAGCTTTCTCCAACCCTTTTCCAACATGAGCTGTTATTAATTCTTTCTCGTCAACACTTCTACTGGGCATCTAACACATGGTACCTAAGTTGTGTGTTAACTGTGCCCGCAGGGCAGCCCTGACCTCTGCCCACCTCACAGCACCTGGAACTGCCCTGCAAGGCTCTCTCTGCCCAGTGAGCCGGGAAGGGCGGGCCGGCAGCCGCACCTACCTGTACAGGAAAGGCGCAACTGTGGCAGTGTTGGGATGGGTGTATTGCTGCTGGGGCTGAGGTAGCTGGACACTGACAGTATTGCTCCCTGTGGTCTGGGTGGATCCCACTGACCCACTGACGGTCTGGCTGCTGATGCTGTGGTTCAGGGTGCTCCCTCCAGGGCCTTTGCCTTCGGAGGAAGCCAGGCTGGATGAGGAGCTGGAGTGTCGGCCGTCCAGCTGGGGCTTCTGCTGGGGGAGCCCTGAGCTTGGCTTCGCACTCCGACTGCGCTCCCCTTCCTTGGAAGGGGCGGGGGCACTTGGGGACTTGCCAGGCGTGCTCTTCATCCCTGGTTTTGGTATTCCACTGTGGGAAGGGGCTGTAGCCTCCTTCTTGGCACTGCTGAGCTTCCCCCCTTTGGGGATGAAGCTGGTGATCTTGGAGGACTTTTTTGGCATCTCGGTCCCGGCTGCTGCACTGGGGTCTTCTTTCGGTTCTTCTTTGAGCTCGGGCCTGTCTGACACTGAGGCTCTCTTGGTGAGGTCCTTGGACTTTTCCTTGTCCTTCTCCCGCTGTTGTTTCTCCTTCTCGGTGCCTTTCGGGGAACTTTTCTTGGTGGTCAGCGCTCGGCTAAAAGTCCTCTGCGCGATCCCCTTGAGTGCGATCTTGGGGCTGCTGGACGCGGGGCCTGCGGCCGAGAGCGCACGGCCGGCAGCCTCCATCTCCTCGCTCTCTTCAAAGCTGGGCAGGATCTCCAGCCGCTCGCAGCTCGTGTCCCGGGACCCTGGGCCCTCACCCGCCTTGGAGCCCCCTTTACTGTTGAAGAGTTTGAGCTTTTCCAGCATGGACTTCTGATTGTTGGGGGTGGGCTTGATGGCTTCCGGGGTGGGTCTGGGGGTCTCGGGCACAGGCTGCTTAACGGAGAGCATGGAGGACGTGGCACTGTGCTTCACACTGAGGGCCTTGCTACGCCAGGGCTTGGAGGCCGCCCCGGGCTGGGGGATGGCTGAGGAGGTGCTGCAGTTAGCGGGGCTCGAGCTGCTGCTGTCCACACCGGCAGGTGCATTGTCGCTCATTCCGGGCTGGGAGGAGGCTGGGCTTTCCAATGGTTCTGCAGAAATGGAGAAGAGAGGGAACTCTAAAATCACATTTGCAGACCCACGCTAGAGAAGGGGAGAGGAGCCACCTCCCCACCACGAAACAGTCCTCCCCAACCCAAATGCCATTACCACCCCATTACCCACTCTGTGGCTTACCTGTGGATACACTCTAATCCCTGGCTCAACTCTTTGCTATCTGTCCTGCACCTTTCATCCCCGTCCCATACTCTAGCAAGATTTGTTCAAATGCAAGCCATCGTTGCTATATACCCAGAGCACAATTTGGAATCTTAATCTAAGAAAACCCAAATAGACAAATCCCCACACCACCACCAACCATGACGCTCAGAGGCCCAAAGAGGCTAGAAATCTACTGTCTTGAATTACTGTATTCACAGTTTCTGGTCTCTGTTATGCAAAAGAGCTAATAAGAATTCTCCAATTTTAAGGAAACCATTTAGCAAAGACATTGAAATGAAATACTCCCAAGAGGAGAAACAAAGTGTCAGAATTATCCACACAAGTTGCAAAGTCCAATCAAAGCACATGTTGCTCCTTTACTTGAAAGGAGTTAACATGAGTCAGGCAGGACTTAGGGAGGAAAAGAAAGATATTTTCTGCTAAAAGTACAATCTGTGCACACAGCTCCACTTCAGTCAAGAAAACACACAGGTTATCTGAAAGTCAAGGCTTCCCTTTGGCGCACATGAGTGTTTCCCTGGCCTGGCTCTTTTCAACAGAAAAGCCTCAAAATAGTCCCTGATGAGAGCCAGAATTATGCTGTGAAGGGTGGGTTCCAAATGGGAGCTCTGCTTGCCACCTCGGCAGACCGGTGTCCCAGGAATGAAATGTCATTCCCCCTTCTCTGATAGATGCTCTGAAGGCACAGCTCTACCTCTTAAGTCAGGGCTGTTGTGGGAGAGAAGCTGACAGAGATGTATCATAGCTGGGACCAGCCTGTGCCCACTGTGCTATGCCCATCATGCCCTCACACCCAACAGAACATGGCACAGCAGTGCCCACAGACAGTGTCCCGGCTGCAATCAAAGTTGCATTACTTACGTAGCAGCGGCCACTTTCCCCTGCAATGATTCCCCAGCAAACACTCTCCAGCCAGAGGGATGGCCCTTCCAATTGTCACAAGTGTTTTCGGTTAAGCCGCTCATGTTTCTAATTAACTTTTGTCATCCACAACTGTTCGGTGCCCAGAAGCCTGCCGGGATTAACGGAAGCTTTTTCTCTTCTGTCTCCCTCCCTTGTTAATACCTCTGTTCCGCTGCCTTCTAGCAACAGGGTAAACTGTATATAGAGCGGCTTTTTATGATTTAAAAGTCAACGGCTGCTGCAGCCCAGAGAAGGCAGTCCCTGTGTGGGGCACCGGCACGGTGCTGGGAGCGCCTCACCGCAGACGAGCCGCTGCTCAGAAAGCCACAGCTCCGGGTGATCCAACGCAGACCTCCCAATGTTTTCAAACACATACATCTTCCTGACTTACTGGGGATTTGGCTACAGAGGGGAGGGTGCTTCACAACCCTCCCTTACAGAATGCACGGGGCATTGTTGGAACTCTTCCTGGGGAGTCAGAGACGGGTTTGGAAACAGGATCTGGCTTTTGGAACCCACCCACACTGCCTGACTTGCACAAGGTCTCCGCGGGCGTGGCCGCTGCGAGTCCAGGGTCTTCAGGGCACAGGACGCACAATGCCAGACACATTGTCAAGAGAGTGTCATTGCCCCGTGTCATAAGCCTGACATCTGTACTCAAGTTCCTTGACCCCATGACCTTTGGGACTGCACCAGAGTTACTTCTTTGTTTAAAAGCAATTTTAACAGAAGCCACTTAAATTATGAGCCATCTTTTGGGGAATACATTTTCTCCTAGCTTAGACATGCTGGGATGCCCATTTCTGGGACCTGCTGGAGGCACGCCAGCTTGATTCATGGCAACTCTGTGTGTGTAACAGGAGAACTCTGCTCCATGGGGTTTTAAATGGTTCTTTTTTGCAAGCAGATTACCAGGCCTTTCTTCCAAGGTGCTTCCAAAGACCTTTTTAATTAGAACCCAAGTGTGTCAACTCTTTTTTGCATCACTCAAACCACCTGAACAAACCAGCCCAGTGAAGTGAAAGGGAGAAGTACACACCACAAGTATATGCTCTGGCTGAAATAACGCTCATTACCATCTAATTGATCCCGACTCACAGAAGACAGGTAGAACTACCCCATGGGCTTTGCAAGGTGGTAAAGCTCAGCAGAAATTATGATGTTGTTGTGTGCTGTCGAGTCGGAACCGACCCATAACTAACCCTCTGGCAGGTTATCAAAGGCAGTAAATCAAATGGGAGGAGAATGTGCAGTCTTCTTCCCTGAAGCAGCTGGTGGATTTGAACCCACATACCTTGGGATTACAGAGCAGCTGCTGACCACTAGGCCACCAGAGCTCCTCTCAAGCAGCTGCTAGTGGGTTTGAACAGCCAAACTCTCAGTGAGCAGCTGGACCCTTAACTATAGTACCTCCAGGGTCCCTAGGGCTGAAGTGACAGTGGCTTTAATTCCCTGGTTCCACTTCTCACAGGGCAACAATTTCTCCCTTCACCAGACACAGACACTTCTGCGTTCCTGGAAGAGGTCATCTTGCAATACTCTGCTATGAGTTGGTTTCTTATTTGGTTCATGTGTAAACTCCTCAAACATACAGATCTCCCCACCCCATCCCCACATCCCAAATTCGGTCTCTTAACAGCCGTCAAAGCACAGGAAATACACAGTGAAGATTTTCTGATTTCTTGGTTGGATGCTTTGACATTTTGGGGTCACATGTATGGCAACAGAGACAACAGGATTTGTGATAATTCATTATGGGTAGAGTAAAATCTTTCTGCTTAAATGCAGGAAAAACCCAGGATCAGGGCTCAGAGCTTGAGAATTTCCACCTGGCAGTCAGCCCAGGCTCCCCTGGTTATGGACTCACAAGGACGTTTTAAGGCCACTCATTACAACTAAAGGGATTAGCACCTCAGGAAGCGTCTCAGCGTGCTCTCTAGGGAGACGTCTTCTAGAGGGCTGGTGGCACCAGGGCATCTGAGAATCGATCACCAAGATCTGGTGTCAGAACACAGCTCTATGTCCCTACAGCAGTGAGGGGCTTCAGGTCATGGGCTGGTTTTGTCCAGGACAACATGACTCAAAATCCCTCATTTCAAGGGTGTCCCCCAGTGACCTCAGATTGTGGCTGAGGTGGCTGTTTGGGACCCTATTCCTCCTTCTTTGGAAAACAGATGTCTCCAAGGTTGAAGCTCTTAGCATGACTCTTAACATGAGATGTTCCTCATCAGTCTCCTGAGAGAGCCACATTGTAGATGATGTGCAAGTGAGTAATGTGCTGGGCTGCGAACCAAAAGGTCAGCAGTTCAAACCTACCAGAGACTCCATGGGAGAAAGAGGGGAGTGCCTCTTCTCATAAAGACTGCAGCCTCATAAACTCAAGGGAAGATTGCTGCGGGCTGGAACTGATTCAATGGCCGTGGGCTTGGCTCGGTTTGGTGCAGGTTAACATGTAAGTCAAGTCTCACACTAATGTTGTGGTTCTAGGTGTGCCATTTTATCTCTTAGTCACAGTGACTGCAGAAGGAGGATGGGCTATTACTCTAAAGTCCTTCCAGCTCTGCCCCATCCAAGTGTCAGGGAGCCTCCACAAGGCCTAACAAGGCTGGGCTCCAGCCAATGCCTATCCCACTGGGCCCCAGAGCCCCCTCCACAAGGCCTAACAAGGCTGGGCTCCAGCCAATGCCTATCCCACTGGGCCCCAGAGCCCAGCTCTCACAAAGTCTTATCATCATTCTGTGCTGTAACATAGGGGGTGGTCTTTATCTTCAAATATGCCACAAAGCTCCCCTAAGATAATAATGTTTATGAGTAGATGGGTCAAGGTACAAGCAATCTTGGCAAAGCTGACTGGGAATTAAGAAATGGCATTCTGTTTGAAAACAAGCCTGGGGGAGAGAATGTAGGAGCTCCGGTGACGTAGCCACTGCTGAGCAAAAGACTGCATGCCTCTGCCAGTTCCAATCTACCAGCAGCTCTGCAGAAGATGGGCAATCCCTTCCTATTCAAATCGAAAGCCTTGGCAAGCCAACAAAGGTCACTGTGGATCAGGATTGACTCAGTGCAGTGGGTGTTTGGCTTCCCCGCCCAACTCTCCGCTCTTGTTTATTTTCTCATGGATATGTGAATCTTTGCGAGATCAAAAGAATCTAAGGAGAAAGGATAAATGAATATAAGAATGTTCAGAGCCAGGGAGCTCTGGTGGCCTAGTGGCAAGAAGTTGCGCTGCAATCCCAGGGACATGTTGTTCGAATCCACCAGATGCTCTGCTGGAGGAGGAGGGGCAATCTCCTCCTATACCAGTCAGATCTGATTTGACAGTGCTCAAAATTTAAATTAAAAAAAAAAGAAGAATGTTCAGAGCACTAGTATCTTTCAAGCAGTAGTATGTTGGCCCCTGAAATATATGAAATTATGTTGGACAGCCTGTGGGTAAAGGTGAATACTTGAATACTTTTATATATTATTTGTAGGAGGAGGATAACTAGCTCATATGTAAATACAAAATTTAAAGGATATAAAGTGTAGTACTTAACATTTAAATTCATTTACGGAAAATATTATATAAACACAGACGGTATAAAATAAAAGTTAGTGTAAGAATGAAACTGTTTAAACACTATTACATTAAATCCAGAAATACATATTTTATATTCAAGCTATTATTTTTGAAAAAGCACCATTAATCCAATCAGAACATCAAAATAAGGTCTCAACTCAAACTCCCTGCCAACCAATCCGTTCTGACTCACCGTCTCCCTCTACTGGGATGCTGAGGCTAATGCACCATAATGGGAGGAGACTGCTCATCTTTTCCCCTCAGAGCCACTGGTGGATTTGAACTGCCAGAAGTGCAGCCTTTGGGTCTGTAGCACAACTCACTACAGACTATGCCTGCAAAGTTCCC